AGCGGCCACAGAGGCGCCGATGCCGTGGCAGGCGTGCTGGCTCCCTGGTGTCTCCAGAGCCGGGCGGGTGTGGGAGGGAATTCTGAACGTCAAGGTGGAGCGCTTTACAAGGGGGGAGGGTTCAATGTTTACTCAGGTTAGAAATGGATTTATTCTCACTCTTCACTCCCCAGTATAGCTTTTATTGTTTTAATTTAAAAACGCATCAGCAGTATGTTTCGTGGCCTTCCTTTGCTAAGTGATGCAGGTTCTTTCTGCAAATGTAGTTAGAATCTAGTTTCTTATTTATAAATAAACTATGAACATTGACAGTGTGTTGTGTACCATCCATTTAGTTTCTTTGCTTGCTAATTCCAGACTGCCTAAATCTGTGCTAGCTTTACTTGCTTTTAAAAATTAAGATAATTTAAAACAGCTTTCCAAAAGTATGTTACCTCATGTGGAGGTGGGGTTAAGCAACATTTGTGACTTGGCTAGGAGAGAAACCTGGGCTTCAGATCAGTTTGTCAGATGATGTTTTATACTTTGAGTTGTCCATAGTATCAGTTGGACAAGGACATAGAGGCAGTTTTAAATTCTGTTTGCATTTTGCAGTGACAGAGGAGATAAAGAGTGCCAAGCTCAGACAGTTCTTCTGAGTTCAACTAATTTGAGAAGTGTTAAAAAATGGCAGAGAGTTCGGAGAATAAAAGTTTGATGAGAATTTCGTTTTGTAAAGCTTGCAAAATGCATCCTTATATTTTCCATAAAGAGCATTTAAAGTCTGACCAATTCATCTTCTGTGTTACAGTAATCCCATCTACTTAATTTTCATTGATGTTGTTAAGGAACAAACTATTAAAATAAGTGTCCAACCAAGAGTTTATACTGGACTGTCAGTAGCAGAAACCAATTTGCCACAGGCTCAGTGCTTCTTACAAATCTAGGAGTGGATGTTGACTTAACAATAATTGACAGATGGATACGATCCTGTCAAGGAAATGAGCACATTTTGATGTCTAATTAGAGTTCAGGGATGGTTTTCTAAGCTTCTGTTCTTCAGCTGTTAGACATTATCTTCTTTTCAGGGAAGTGATGCTGTTGCTAATTGTTTCTGAAAGTGAAATCAAATGCCTCCAAATCGATATATACGAGCTTCTGGGAGAATTGATATCCTGTCCAAGTAGTTAAGACTTGTATTGACTCTTCAGGCTCTCAGTTGTTCCTCTCTGCAATAGTTTATAGATCTTGCCAAGCTAGATGGAACATAGGAGATACTATCAAAAGCAACCTGCTTTGTCTCATTTTTAGAATGTGGAAAACAAGGGGGTTTCCAGTGACCTTGAAGTCAAAGTAGAAGAATGAGACCTTAATTATTCATCGTAGGAATTTCAAGCTTTATAGCAATTCAGCTTTTACCACACTCCATGGATCCAGGAAATATTAGAAGGATTTCTGCTTTTATTTTGCTGTTTATAAAAGTCTTTACTAAAATCTTCAAATAATTTTGTACAGGAGGTTTTTGATGTTCTTTGGTGACTGGCATTGTTTTTTTCAAGCACTTCTGCCATCATCGTTCTACTTTGTTGCCTAATCAAGTATTACTCTCTTTTCCTGCAGAACCCCTAAATCCTTTAATAAATACCTCTGGTTTTTAAAATCTCACTGCTAAACCAGACACATACTAATACTAGCAAGTTTGTTGACTTGTTGATTTCATGTCTGTTTCATTGAGTACATTTCCATTGAAACTTTAAGGTTCCTTCTGCCACAGTACTCAGAGGCTCAGTTTTGTGTTGTGGGATCTGCACCTGATGTTTTGAAAGTTTGAAACAAAGTACTCAAACTTTGAGCAGCACTTGTTATCAGTGCCAGTAGAACAAATCTTATAAATATGATTTCTAGAAATGAGCTTGTGGGTCTTCAGAATGAGTGGTAGAGTAGTATAAAAAGCAAGATAGTTTTTCAAGTTCAACAAAAATTCAGAATATTGGAAAGAACCAATTTTCTTCTCGATCAGGATCTCATAAATATGAGAAGCTGCTTGATACAGATCTAGAGCCCTGGTTCCCCAAATGCCAAATTTTTTTTTTCTGTTTTCTTCTTATTCACTACTGGGAGCTAGGCTGGGAAACCAGTGCAACTTTTAACTGGGGAGAGATTGAAAAACAAACTCTGGCTGTATTTGACTTTGTTTTTTAAAGTCTTCCTACAGATACAAGGTGTGATAGATGAACACACAACAGAACTGTTGTCTCCTAATTCTCAGTTCCTTTATCTGGAGCTAGGGCAAACTGTCAGAGTTTTTCTTCTAGACAAAAAGGACATGCCCACCCTTCCCCCTCCTTTTTTTTCTTCAATTTCTGTATCAGTGACTTGGCAAGGAATTGAAAGCAAAGGTCTCTGCTGTTACAGTAAAGGCACGTAGCTGTAAGCATATAGTTATAATTTTTTATATCTGTTAATTAATTTATGACACACTGACCAGGCTAGGGAGGAGCAAAAAAAAAAAAGTTATCCTTAAAAAGGAAGTTGCAGGGGTCCAACCCACTTCATCTGTGATACAGCTACTAAAACAAGGGACAAAAAAGGTGTTTGAGACTAGAAGTAATCTCTTACAATGCACTGCTTTTGTTGCCAGAGCAGAAGCGCTGCGTTAATAAGTCTGATTGGAAATGGAACAAGATAAGAAAATGTCTTGACTTATTTTAGACAAGACAACCAAATGAAACTGTTATATTTCTCTGTTCACAGAGATTTGAACCCTTATGTTTTCAGGAGAAGAGAAACTTGGCATGGGGAAAAACACCATGAGGCTTCTCTGTGCATCCCTTTCTCTTGCCATGGTATGCTGGCTAGCTGAAGGTACCCTGTCAAAAACAGATGCAAAGAAAGGTGCTACGAAAAAACTGGAGGAAAAGGTAAGGGAAATAACCGAAATTCTTGTCTTATCTAACGTGTGAAGTGAATTAATTGAACTTTGGTAAATGGCCTCTACCTCTGTTAAAAGAGTGTTAATGCATTTCCACTGAAGTGATACTCACAGATAAAACTTGAAACTGTCCTTTCCTTCACCTTTTCTGTGTGTCATAAATGGTTCACTTCTTGAAACACATGATGTAGACTTCTGGAGCTTTATTCCTCTATGCAAGTTGCAGAAACAGGAAGTTTTTGTCCCCTCAGGGAACACACTTCCATCCCTTTGGAAATCAGGGTGGGGAACAGTAGTTTGGGCCAAGAGCTCTAGGTCATTTACTGGTGGAATGGAACATTGCCAATGGGAAGGCTGTATCCTGATGAAAGATTTTGAAGAGCCTTCTAATCAGTTGTTTTTTTGCAGGCAGAAATGATTCAGAGTCCCACAATAATCCGAGCAAACACAGCCAGCATGCTGAAGTCTCTCTTCACTTGCTGAGCGTGTTATTGTTTCCTGTCATTATGCATGAACATCTGTCACTGTTTGTATCACTTGCTCAACATCTACCAAATTTGCAGGTAGTGAGGGTAACACAAGGTGTTAAGGCAGGCCATCTCCCTAAATTCCTTACAATGAATCAATAGATGCCTTCTGCATACCCACCATGAACATCTCATTAGATCTTCTCATTCTGTTTTTATCTGCTGGGTCAGTTGTAGCATATTCCCTGAAGAAGAGTGTTTAAAATCTTGGCCTTCACAGTGCAGCATTCTCAGACTAAAATATATCCAGTTCAAAAGCTGTCTTCAAATTCTTGGTTAAGAACTCCTAACCCCTTTTTATTATTTTGGGGGTGACAGACAGAAAGGATTGGTTAGAAAACAGAGCACCATTAGCTGTCATAAATTATGTTCTTTACTCTTATAATGTCTTGGGCTTTGGTTTTTGTTTTTATGCTTTTTACCCTCGAAGTTTATATGCTTTTTACAAACAAAGTAAGTTTACTGATGATGACAGTTTCTGAGGACTTGTATGTTTCAGTTCAAATCAAAGTGCTCTGCATCATTTAAAAGGAGTGCTCAGAGTTTAATGAAGTTATTTGTTTTGCTGTTGTTTTTAAAGTCTGTTACCATTGAAAGTGGCTGTTTCATATAACTGGTTCTAATAACTGTCTTCTCTCCACAGAAGCTGCATTCTGATAAAAATGTTCAGGACAGGGGATTGGTAGTTGTGGATCCAAAAGCAAAGGATATTATACTGGAACATAAAAGTTATTGCTCCAAGAAGATGAAGGAACGACATTTTTCAGGAGATGTTCTGGGATATATTACTCCTGTAAGTTGATACAATCAATAAAATTTGTGCTTTGAATGAATATGCAGCAGACTGTGCTGCAAGTTTGCATCCCTGTTTTAGAAGTATTTTTATAGTAATGGGGGCTGCTAGTCAAATAGCCAGACAAGTATTTGAGACTTGAGTGGGTTCAGGGGGTCTCAAACCCTTGTTCTCCCATCTGTCTCTTGGAGGATGTCTAGGTCCTCTAGGAGGGTGTATGTTGTTTTTCCCCTCCCTGGTGTTGAGCAATGCACTTAGAGCAGGCACTGGGTGTGCAGCTGCAGTGGGGCTGCAGGTTGTACCTGGGTGGGAGCCCCGGACAAAGGGCCATGACCTGGTGCTGACCTTTCAGACAGCAAAGGGCATGGGGACCTGTGGCAGTGGCCAGGTGACCAGGCACTTGGACACAGAAGGAACCAAGGGCTCAGCAGAAAGACCCCAGACTATCACAGGCATGGAGGGTACAAAACCTGGGGATTCCTTTGTTGGGGGTCCCTCTCCAGAGGCACCAGCTCGTGCTGTCTCTGTGTTACTGCACCACAATTAAATTGCTTTAGGGTTCCAGACATCTAGGACTCTGCCTTGGGAAACCCACGGCTGAGCCAGTGAGGAAACCCTGTCTGACTGTGTGGGTGTGCAGGGACCAGGAGGGACGACACCCTGGGGTCACTGGAGTCACCCTCAGCTGTGAAATTTTGGGCTGGTGGTGTTGTGACTGCCAGAGTGGCTCCTAGATGGTCAGACAGGGAAGCTCCCTTAATGCTGGTTTTAACATGGATGAGAGTATTCTCCTGTCAGTGGTGAGTCAGAGGAAGTTGCAGTGAAGTCAGAACAGGAGGGCTGCAACTCGAACCTGCTAAATCAACAGTAACAATTGAATGCTGTCAAACTGCTGTCAAACTGATGTCTTTTGCTATCCTGTCTCCTTCAAAGCATTCTTTCTTGAATGATAAATGTTTCATCCCTTTTTTTACAGGATACTTTTCACTCATTTTTGTCTTACACTGGTCAAAAGACAAATAGGTGCCCTATAAATTTTCACCTTTCTCAAGTTCTCTTGAACATAAATTCAGAGTCTGTAAATTCAAAACTGTGTGGGAATCTACAAGCCAGTTGCTGTAGCTCAGGAGTACTTTTTTATTTAAATGAAAGCAATATCCCAGCAGGTTTCCTCAAATGAACAAGTAAGGATCTAGCAGATGATTACATTTCTGTTAAAGAGTTTATATCAGTCAAAAGTGAAGTGAACTGTATATCTTACTTCTGAGTCTCTCACTTTTTTGTCTCCTTTGTTTTTCTAGTGGAACAACCATGGTTATGACATTGCTAAAATATTTGGAAACAAATTTACACTAATCTCACCGGTTTGGTTACAAGTGAAGAGGAGAGGGAAGGAAAGGTTCCAGTTCACTGGGCTCCATGATGCTGATCAAGGTGTTGTTTTTTTTTCCTTTGAAGATGAATTGCAGTATTGTTGCAGACTGTGTAGATTTGGCATACTAGGTGGGTTTTGCTGGCTCTGCCACGTGGTGAAGTACTTTCATCCATTACATTTTTTTGGGTTTTCTTCAGATTGAACTTCTTTCTGTCCTCACCTGCTTCCATAAGTGTACATAGTTTATTTGTCAAAAAATGTAAGTAGAATGATTGGCTTTTCCACCATGCTGTCCACAAAACCCCTCTTAAAAAAAATGAAAGGACAAAGATCCTGTACAGGGAAAAACAGTCTTGGGTGTTGTATTGTGCAGTTGTTTACCTGTTGTGGGTTTTGGTTTTTTCCCTTTGCAAAAGCTTTAGGAGAAATTTATTTAGAAAGGGAAGAGAAATTTAATTTGAAGAGAATTTTTTCTCTTCATGGCGAGGAAAGTGGCAGCAAGATTAAATTTCAGCTAGTATGTACTAGTTCATGGTTTTGAAGTTGATTGAATGTGAAATTTAATTTGAAATAGCTATAATTCTTACCACGGTAGTGCCTACTAACAAATTCATCCTAATGCAATGGCCGCCAGGAGGAGTGAATGGGACACTTTAAAGTATCATCTGAAAAAATCAGACATTCCTCCCAGTGATGCCTGGTGGCTGCAGAAGTGTTATTCTGAGTAGGCACTGGGGTAGCTTTCCATAGTGAGGTAGAACTAAGCAGGGAGGGGCTGGGTGGGGACTATTGTAAGGCTGTAGTGAATGCTGTGCTGCAGGTTCATGCCTTCAGATTCTGTGCATCACAAGATGTTCTGTCTGGGTGGATTATGAACTCCTGGTCTGTGGCAGGAAGATGTGTATAATGAAGCTATGCTACATCATTCGAAGAATACTTGAAAATATGTTATCATTGTCAACATCATTTATATTTTATCAGCTGTCTTACTTGATACTGTTTGACAGGCTGGATGAAAGATGTGAGAAAAACCTCCAAAAACATAAAAATAGGTGAGTCTCTGGTTTATGTCTGTTTGCTTGCTTTTTATCTTCTTTAGCTTCTAGGAGAGGAAAGTAAGACTTTCTTCCAGGTCTGTATGGGAGGAAGGAAGATTACCTTAGCACAGCTGTATGAAGAAGATGTCTGAGAAGAAAAATTAAAGCAGTTAAGTGTAGATAGTTAAGTAACTGACTTGTTGGCCCTCTTGATGCCTTTATGTTTTGCCTTAGCTTCTTTTCTCTGAATAAATCCTGGGTTACAGTGCCCTCCATGGAACGATACTAGTATATAACACTGTGTGCCTCCCTGGGGAAAGAAGTCTTCAAACTTGTTGCTTGGGGTTCTGTGTAGTTAAAAAGAAAAAAAAAAATCCAAATCTGAGTCAGTCAGTCAGACTTCCCTGCATGATAGAAAAGATCTGCTTTGTCTCTTCTCCCCTTGAAGCTGGGAACTCATGGGATGTGCTGCATTGTGTGTCTTTAGGGAAAATGGCAAACATTGCTGTAGAGATTCTGCTGTGCTTCTTGCATTTGTCTATAGCAAGAATTCTGTGGAGCTGTGAAATGCTTCTTGATTCAGAAGGGAGTATGAAATTTGAAATGTATTAGAAAAATGGAATGCTCAGTCAGATATTTTAACGTACTTCAGTTGCCAGAGGATAAAGCCTTTGAAATCTCTTTATACTCTTATAAATACTCTTTTACAACCAAGGTAGTTAGAAGGGGCTTAGACATAGCTCCATAAAATCCATTGCCTTTTCCTGTGGGCATGATTGTCAACTCTTCCAACATCAGTTTTCATGACTATTTTTTTAATGTTTTGTGTTTTTAGAAAAAAAATTCACATAAGCTCAAGTGCTTTCCAAAAGTAAAAATTTGTCTTAGGGCACTGAGTTGAGTAGAAGAGTGAAGTGATGTAGGGCTATGTATGAAGTAAATTAGAGTTTGAGGTGAACTTTTCTACCTCATTATTGTGGTAGAACAGATGCACAACTTAAAGATTGGTGTCTTGTGTTGTTGCTGGTTCAAGACTCTACTTGAGGCCCTGAGTGGTAGTTCAGTTAAGATTGTTCAATCAAATGAAAATACCTTCTCTTAAAACTTGTATCAGTGCTGATCATTAAACTTAAAATGAAGAAGAATGTTCTACAGTGTCAGTTCATCTATGCTGCTGAAGGTGGTCAGATCTCAGTCATGGGATATGATTTTTAGTGGCATCTCTGCTTGTATCTGCTGTATTCTGTTTCTGCAGAAACTTTCCAGTGTAAATAATAAATTCCTTATTTTCTCTACTGATGACTACTTTGCCTGATAGTGCCTCGGATTTTGTTTGATGGCTGGACTTACCAAGACTTTGAGAGTGTTTTTGGCAGTGAAGATGAGATAGAGGAGCTTTCCAAGAACATGGTTCTGCTAGCCAAGGTAAAAAAACCTATTTATGATGTTTATAAAATTGTGTGAGATGATACTTGATTCCTTTTGTAATAGATGTTTTCTAATTTCTTGTGATTTTGCATTCTATGAAATAGAATTTGCTGAAAGCAATAATGAGGCAGGATTCTTGATAGTGTGTCTTAGTATGTGCCCAGTTCCTGTAAATATGAAATGTAGCAACACTTCAGTGCAGGTGACTGTGAGTCTAACCTGGGACTACATCAGTCTGATCAACATAACCTTGTTGTCATTGGCAGCTGCACTCGTGATTTTTGCCTGCTTTAAATTTCTTTTACATTTCTATTAGAAATATAATTATTGAGCTGTGGCTATACTGCTTAGTGGTATTTTCTGATGGACAGTAAAAGAGTCATGGGTGCAATGGGTGCTGTTTTCTGTACAGGAATGCATTCAGGCTCAGTGTGGTAAAGCTAAGGAACCACTTTTAATACCAAGAATCACTCATTGGATATGTATTACTGAGCAGTTTTGCTCAGGTCTGATCAACCAGTTTCCTCAAAATGTTAAGAGATTAGGGAGAGGAGGAAGGAATTTTGCTGCGGTTTCTGGCCAACCCCTTTCTTAATGCCTTTTGAGCTATCCCATGAGTGAGAATAGACAAGCTGCACCCAAAAGACATTCAGCATTAGTGATTGATTCATGGCAGCCTGTTTATTTATTGTCAGAATAAGAGTTGTCACTTGCTACATGACATAAAGAAATCTTACAGTGCTCTAGAGGAAGTTGGATGTACTCAGTTAAACTGAGTAATTTCTTAAAATTTTTAACCAATATGTCAATTTTAAGTCCTCAGTAACACTTGACTTCTTAAGGATGTCAATTCAAGTACAACAGTATCCTTGATCATGCTAAGAATAAATTATCAAAAGAGAGACTAATTATGGGAGATACTTGGAATCATGTCTATGCTGAATTAGCATTTGTGTCTTCAGACTCAAGAGATAATGAGTTTTTTCCCTGATATACAAATAAAAGTGTGTCAAATTATTTGCTTAACAACCACCTTTCATTAGTGTCTGAATTTTTCTAATACAATATTGGCTTTTTCTGTAAAAGTAGATATGATGGATAACTAACAGAGATTTTCAACTTTTGCATGTTTGTGTTTGTTAAATGATTTAAATTTCTCTTGGACTTCTCCATGAAATGCTGTGTTAAAGATGAATCTGGTGTAAGAATACAAAGCATGTTCAATCTGTAATAGTACAAGAAAAATAACTGCGTGGTCATTAACTGTGTTTTGTTGACAATTCTCTTTATTTAGAATGAAAATTTTGATGGCTTTGTAGTTGAAGTGTGGAGTCAACTGGGAAATCAAAAGCGAATGTGAGTATAAATCTATAGGAAGCAATTCCTAAAAATCAGCTCCTTTAAAGCATCTTTTTAATTTGTCCATGTTGATTTGCGTATGTCTTTATAAATAAATACACTTAATTCTAGAACAACTAAAGGTTGTTCTGCTTGTCTTACAATGAAGTAGAGGGTTTTACCTCACTCTACATGAGATCAAAGATTACATCACAATCTTCACAGTGGGTTTAGCAGGCTGTGTTAGACTTTCATTCTTGAGTTTTGCATGATGTAATTTGTATGAGGACATAGAGGATACCTCAGTTGCACACTTATTCCCACGTTGGCACTGTCCTTTATCATAACATTGTTTGGTTTGGGTTACTGGCTGAGGCTTGGAACTGTGTGACACTTTCAAGACCTAAGGCAAACTCCAAACTTCTGCTTCGCAAAGAAAAGGCAGAATATGGTGGTGAAATAATTATTCAGTGCAGGAATCTGAAAATTTTGTGATAGTTTCTCAGGAAATTCAGGCATCCATTTCTGTAAAGCACAGTGTTTCTTACAGATCTCTGTTACCTAAAATGTCTGGGGGAAAATAGCTTCAAGAATGATGCACAGAATGCAAACTTCATTATGGAAAGCTTTCACCTTTCAAAAAATGGTTACTTTAGGTTATTTTGGTTAGGGCAAATGCTGCTGACTGATGGCATATATTAATTACTTCTCAAACTGAGTTTACTGTTAGCAGTCCTACCTTTTCCCTATAAAATTAATTCTTGGGAACAAAAAATTGAAACTGCAAAATCTTTTTTAGCTCTATAAAGGGCTCCATCAATTTCCCTGCAATGAGTAATCCTTCTGCTGTATGCTCCTGCTTATAATTAGGTAATTTGCCAGGTTGTTCCTAAGAGCTAATATGTATCGTGAGCTCTGAACCTAGTGCAGTGTCTTAATAAAGTAGCCAAGAAGGTGTCTGAAGCAATTAGTAACTGCCAGTCAGAAGTGGGTGGTAGCGGTCATTTTATTTACTGTGCTTACTGTATTTAAGTAAAATCAATAGTTTTCCTATTAGTTAATACAGATATAAGACAGACTGTAACTGTCATTGTAAGACTCACTGAAGATCATTTTAAACACACTGGCATGAATGTGCTATATTGCAAATGAAACACATGAGCAAAGCAGACTTTTCTGTTAGCTCCAGGGTGAGTTTATTTGTGGCCTGGTAAAAATACTGTTCTCTTCCAGGAGTAATGTTGGTTTAAAACAGTGTTGTTTCACAGAATCACAGAATAAGCTGAGCGGGAAGGGATCCACAAGGATGGATCGTTGTGTCCAGCTCCCACCCTTGCACAGCACCATCCCCAAGAGTCACACCATGTGCCCTAGTGTGTTGTCCAAAGGCTTCCTGAACTCTGTCAGGCTGGTGCTGTGAGCACTTCCCTGGGGAGCCTGTCCCAGTGCCCAAGCACCCTCTGGGCAGAAAACCTTTTTCTAATATCCAATCTAAACCTCCTCTGATGCAACAACTGTTACCAGAGAGAAGAGATCAGTGTCTGCCCCTGCTCTTCCTCTCAGGGAAGTTGTAACTGGAATGAAGTCTCCCCTCAGTCTCCTCCATGCTGGAATGACCAAGTGACCTCAGCTGCTCCTCACACAGCTTCCCCTCAACGCCCTTCACCCTCCTCATGGCCCTCCTTTGGGCACTCTCTAACAGCTTCATGTCATTTTTATATTGTGGCACCCAAAACTGCCCCCAGCACTGGAGGTGAGGCTGCCCCAGTGCAGAGCAGGACAATCCCCTCCCTTTTCTGTCTGGTGATGCTGTCCCTGATGCCCCCAGGACAGGGTTGGCCCTCCTGGCTGCCAGGGCCCTTCTGACTCAGACCCAGCTTCCCATGAAGAGGACCCCAGGGCCCTTTCCATGGCACAGTTTATCTGTGTGCTGGACATTTTGTCCAGAAGGACACTATGAAAAACAGCTGTCATAAAAGGAGATTATCTCCTGTCATACAGGAGATAATGCTGTTTAGTTGCCTCAGCCTTCAGTTACCTGAGTGTTATTTAGGTGAAGCACCACCTCCTATCACTATCTGTCTGAAAAGGACAGGGTTATTCTCATGCTGTATAATGGTAACTAGATCCTTTTCTCTGAGTAGGTAATGTGTAATTGTGTGTGGCCACTGTGAACAGCACTGAAGGATTATCCTAACTTAAATGTGAGATTATTTGCCAAGAAAGCATAAAGGGAAACAGAAGTTAGGAACTGCAGGTATTCTTCCATTTCAAGACCTGATCTAAGTGCTTCATTGCAAACTCATCAGTGGATTTTTCCTCCTTTTATTGCTGTGTACCTAGAAATGGTTGGGATGTTTAAGTTGAGCAGTGCCTTGGGTTGGGCTTGCAGCATTCTAACTTACGCCAATTGAGACAGAAAGCTGAAGCTGGGCTCAGTGTGCAGTTACAGCTGTTTTGTGAATGTAGGAGACTCACATCATTACATGGTAATTTTGTCTTATGATGCTTCTAAGTTGTGGGACTGTTGTCTTCATTTTGAGATTATGTTTTCCTGTCACTAGCTTTGAAACTCAGTGGCTTGGCTATCCAATGCCCAGGAGTTTTCCATAATAATGTTTTTTGGAGGGAACAATTTAGAACGGATCTTAAGGGGCAAAATTACGTGCATTTATTACGGTGGCAAGCCTGTATTTTTTTCACATTGAGTGCTGTTACTTTAATAATTTCATTTCCTATAAACAGAGCAGTTTTTTCTGCATAAGCATGGGTGGTCTTTGCTTCGCGTGTTCCTGTCAGCGAAGTTGGAGAAGCGCAATGCCTCCTTTAGCCCACAGTGTGGCAATATAGTAACATGAGTCACGCCTGATCTTCCCTCAGTTTGTGTCTTTCGAAAGTGGCAAGCACCGGTAGTAGAGCAAGTTATTAACCTTGGAAGGGTGGGGATTAGTTCGCAAGAGATGTCAGCACAGAGGTGAACCCTAATCCTTTGGAGAGGTGAAGTGCTTGTAGGACAGTATTTGTGCATGCTCCAAATAAAGCATCTGTCATAACTGTTAGGTGAGGTGTAGGCTTTCCTGGTTCAGATCCTTCAAGGTCAAATGCTTGGAAGTAGCTTAACCTGCTTCTAGTTAAAGGGACTAAAGATCATAATGATGCTCCTGGGAACAGGTATTTTGCCTCCGAACTACTTTCAGAGCAGTCTGATAATACAAGGAAACCTGCCTAGCTAATAGAGTTTATTCATGTTATTTAATGTGAACATGTTTTAGTTTAAAATAACATTTTTAAAAATCCCTTTTTTCCCTGACATACAAGGAATAATCTCACATAAGCAGTTAGCAACAGGTTATTGAAACTCAACACAGGTGCATAAAAATGCATGGGTATACCCTGCAGCTGCCAGCTTGCTTTATGCAATGTTAGAGCAGCGGTGTCAATCTAGGAAAAATATTTCACAGAGAATCATTATGGTTTTCATTTTTCAAAACCTAAATTAAGTGCATACCTAGCCATTAAATTAATAAATGGCACTCAATTATTCTATATACTTCATATATGTGTTAAGGGGAAAGCTATGGAAATTATTCCTGTGATGTTTTTAACTGTTCTGGAAAAGATCTGAGATCCTATCCAATGCACTGCCTTAGTGGTGCAGGAACACTTGATACAGTACTTGATAAGCTGGATAAAGGTTTCTTTATCCAGCTTAAAGTGACAGTGGGGGGATTTGCTTATGGAATATTTGTGCCTGATAAAGTGTTTCAGCTACAAAATCAGCATCCACTCTCTGAAGAAAATGTGCAGTGATATTTTTCTAGCAGAGTGCACCCAGGAGCAGGTAAGTCTGCAAAAGAATCTAAAAACCTGATGATTAGTGTCCTAACTCACCAAGAAACTGGGCTATGATTTAAAAACTATTTCATATATCAGAAAGCTGGATTAATTGCAGCTGAAGGTCTCTTCTAGTTGACCTCCGGTGAGTAAGTGTCCCCATGAGATATCTTTTTTCAATAGCTGAACCTGAATATTGGATGGGCATTTTCATAACACATGCTCTCCCTTGATGTTGGGGCTTAAGAATTGCCTAAAAGCTTTGTGATGATTAAATTATGTAAGAATCTTCATCTAACAGAGTAACAGAGTAACTCTTCAGTAACATATAAATCCTGTGACCAGCCTCTTAAAGAACCTGTGATCACTGAGCACTTTTAAAATTAGATAAACTTAAACACTTCTCTCTGAGCCCTTTGTGTGTTTCTAGAAAACCTTTCTTTTTTGGGGTACTCAAGTCAACTTTAGAATTGAGTGCAAATTTTTCCTTTGAGGCCCAAGGAATTATCTGAGTCTTCAGTTTCCTGTTAATTCTAGCTGGCATCACAGATGAGGTGAAATGTTGCTAAAAAGTTATGCTGCTGGCATCCACTAAAACATGAAATTCTGTGGTTTCAGGCCCACTAAATACCTTCTGTTCTGTGTATTCTTAAGCAGAACTAACTCAAACTAGTTTGGGTTTTTTCTAGAACCAAAACATTTTCAGTCATTCTGGTTTGGGGTTATAGAATTGTTCTGTAATGCTTTGCAGACTAAAGTCTTAAATTATGTAAGTCCTTTGTGCTGCTTTATTTTGCATATTCATTAAATGTTGATTTATCAGCATTATCAATTTTTATAAGAGAATTGTTTGCCTGAATGTATCTGCTTGCTTTCATGTTAGATATTCTGAGCTGCCTCTTCTCTGGCTGTTCATGTAGGAGCTTTGGTCCCTCAAGTCCTACACAGCAATGCATGATGTGTGTATTTTCACTTGTTTAAAATTGTACTAGGTTATTTTCTTTAGGTTCTTAATTTTAGAAATAACACCTGTTTCATCTGAAGAACCCGAATTGCTTTGATACCTCTGTGTGGGCCTTTTTTGGGGGCTTTATAGTGACCACTTCAGGCTCTTGCAGATGTCTGATACAGATACTTTGAAGTACCCTCTGTAGCACTGGTACCTACTTCTTCCCTGTGTTTTCTGGGAATAGAATTATTAATATACAAATCGCAGTGACATCGAATTTAATGGGAGATGAAAGACTGCATCTAAGTGATGCTGCTTCCTTTCATGCTAGCAATCATTGCACAGTAAAAAAGGGTTCAGCTGCCCACCTTTTACCCTAACACACAGGAAAGTAGTCTCCTAATATAAATCTAAAAGAGCTATCCTATGCAAATTATACCTCAATTCTAATATGTTTTGCAGTTTCTTATAGTTTAAACCTACCTTTTTATTAACTTTTTTCTAAAAGTTTCTTGCCTGATTTTGCAATAAAATATTTCAAGTTATTAACTCATGGCATTTAAGTTTAGAAATGTACATGGCAGAAATATTGAGAGGTGTGAGCATGCAAAGGCTCTCCTCCTTATTTAGTTAACAGCTAGATAAGACCACATCTCACTTACTAATCTCAATTGTGGGTTTACTGGGCGGGTTTATTTTTCTCCAGAGACCTGGATATGTTATGAAAAAGGCATAATATACTTATAATACTCTCACAGGCTACATAAAAATTCACACAATATTCTGATCAGTCCAGCATTACTTGACAGATGGCACTGCCATCACACAGAATCAATCTGAAAAACGTGATTTTTTTGTCACTCTATGCAGAAGATGACCTTCAGGCATCTTATTAATGTCGGTAGGAGTATAGGGGGAAAAACTCTTCTGGTAGTTGTATCCTTCATGTTAGTCCCTGAAAAATTAATCTGTTAATCAAAGATTTGCCATAATTCACTCCAGTTTCTTGGTATTAACTAGGCAGTGAAATGGCAGAAAAGGGCAATTTCTTTTTCAAGTAGACAGCTTTATTTTGTCCAATTTTCTTGACAAGGCATAAATTTTAGGGAGCAGTGACTCCCAATTTGTGCAGAAAGGTGGCTGAAGTTGGAAAGCTGCAGAGCTTTGAAGGGTGGTGTAACTGAAGGGAAGGATATGAAAACCTTTCCTATCTTCTGCAAGGCCTTTAAAATGCATTGACTTCCCACTCTTGTGCACTGAAGTTAACTGTTCTACAAGGTGTTCAAAACACAGTACACCAGCAGTGTTGGAAAAGGTGATTTTTGAAAAAATAAACTTGCCACAAACTATGGGTGATGAAAGCTTTATAGGGGACAAGGTACTTTGAAATCATAAACACTTGGAAAATTGACCTACCAAATAGTAGTGATAAGAGAAGGCCTGAAATAGCATGAATGAAGTAGACCTTAGTTAGCTCAAGATAGAATCTTAAAGCTGCCAATATTTCAGTAGCTACTCTGAAGTTAAACTTGACTACAGTGAAGTGTCTGGTAAATATTTAATGAAGCTTTTTTGGAAAGATTGATTTTATTCCTGTTTTTCTGTACTTCATTATAATGTTTAAAACGTCAGTAGCTTTTCTTTCAAAATTGCCAATGGTAACATTGGAGAATATTGCATTTAAAACACTGGAAAACACTGTTGGGACACAGTAAAGTTTTAATTTATGGCACAATAAATGAATGTTCTGCTATTGCTCTTTGGAGGAGAGGGAGAAGTGCACATTTGATTTACATCATCTGTCTTGGCCACACATGGAAGTGAGCCTAGATTCAGTCTTTAGCCATTAATCCTGCCTGATTTGCCAGAAAGTTTTCAGGACCCAGAACCCTGGCTTGACAGGTTAGCAAATGGATACTAATTTGAATTTCTTGAGCAAAAATCTGCAGTTTTCCAGCCGTCCTTTTTCTTCTTCACCTCCTTCAAGTTGAAGGTAATTATTTTTCAGCCAGATCAATACTGATTGAAATTTGTGGGGGGAGGGTAGGAAGTGGCTATTTAGATGTAGCCTGTTTCAGAGTCATGAGAGCACCAATAATGCATTTCCACTGCATTCAACAATGCATTCAATCTGCATTCCCACCCCTTTTCCAGACCACAAATCTCTGTCCTGTGTTTACAGTTGTTGGTTATGGTTCTACACTTATATATTTCAAAATAAGACCTTCTTTGTGCAGTCAGTGTTTTTGTGGGTATGTCACTGCCTTTGTGGCTCACTTTTTGCCTGTGCAGAATGGGAGTAAGGATGTTAACCTTGTTTCTAAATGGAAAAGTTATCTTGTTCTGTACCTATGCTAGGTTTTTTTGTCCCTTCATATTCTGAAGAGGTAAAGTCAGCAAATGTTTTGCATGGAGTAGAGTTCTCAAAGCTCCTGCAGTTAACAAAGGCAGCCAGGCAGAGAAGAGAGATCCCCACTGATGAACGCTGTAGAATAATCTCAAGGCGAGAGGAATTGATTCTTTGGTCAAATTTATTTTATACATAGCATCTCTGACATCTAATAAAAGTTGAGTTATACTGTAGTTCAGGCATAATTAGTTAAAAAGGTCACTAAGCCACGAGATACAAATCAGTGGGAAGGCTTGCTTACCTAGTTTTAATACTGATTATGGTTTTTGATAAGATTATGTCATGTGGGAGTTGTGATAGATGTGTAGGTTTGTTTCAATAAATGTCTGTTTAGCTTAGTGTTGTAATTTTTTAATGTGGTTCCTGTGAAAAAGGATTCTTCTTTGCTATAATTGATTTGTCTTAATAGTGACACTCCTAATGTGGAATGCATATGGTAAAGTAACAGGGGGAAAACTGTTGCTTTCCCAAAGCAAGAATGGCAGAAGTACATGCTGCAGACAGACCAAAAGCTTATTCCTGTAATCCCTTGTCTTCCCCTAGAAGAGAAATACAGGTGGCATTGTGATAGCTCATTGTTAAGGGCTGTTCAGCACAGGCAGCTCTCAAATTGTAAGCACAAAATATTGCTGGTATTGGAAAGGTGATAAAACATGCTTTGTTTGTTTGCCTGGATTTTGAGAGTAATGACTTTTTGTAGGTCCTAGGAAGTTTTCATCAGGCATCAAATCTTTTTTGGGAAAATGGAAATACTTGGTTACCTTTGGATAGTGTTTCAAGCATAATCACTGTGATGGACAATTATATAGAAGAGCAATAGCTTCAGGAGAATATCTCTAGGATTATACTGCCTTGAAAGGCATGACAGTACCAAGATGTTGTTTCTGAGAGTTCAGGTCTGATGCAGTTTAAGTGGGGCAAACAGCTGGGATGGTGGCTTTTGTGTATTCTGCCTTGCCTGCTTAAGCACTTTCAGCCTCCTGGAATGTGCTGGTGAAGTTGCTTTCTGTTTGGTTCTGGTTTAAGTGTAGTCCTAAACAGATCTAGAGTTCTGTACTAATATCATCTGACTGTGTTTGTGGGCCCTTATGGCCAGGTGAAAAATAGGAAAGTTAACTTTTTTCTGAAAAATCAAATGACTTAAGAAAGGCTTTCAGAAGGGCCATGTTTGTAGTGCAAATTTAGGGTATTCTTGGATTCCTCTTAAGATGACATTAAACTTAGTTTCTGCAGATTAGAGGGTTTTCTATTGACATCAACCTTCCAATTAGAAGTGCTAAAACCAGTTTGCATAAGAATTTTAAAGTTTATTTTACTATTGAAATACCGAGAATATGGATATGAATATCAGCCTTTGTGGAAGTCTTTATTTAAATTATGTAGACAGAAGATGCTATTTCCAGATATGACATTGTCAAATGTGTATTTTGTTTCAGTGGAACAGTGAAGTATGGAGAAACAAAAGGATTACTTATACAGGAAAAGAACCAGTAGAAGAAATGTTTCTAAACACAGGCCTCAGAAATATCCCTTTGAAGAGTGCATGTTCTGCTGTGAAAGTATCTTCACAAATTCTTGTGTGCAGCAACACTGCGGCAACTTTATTTTCTTCAAAATTTGCTTCTTCTATTGATCTAATTTTTTCACCAAAAATGACCTCAAGAAGTTATAAAGTATGCTGCTTTGATAAAGTATGCTGGCTTGTTTAATATGCTAACAATGTTAGAAAAATAAAATAAAGCTAAGAAACACTTAGAACCCCAAGGTGATCACCAGTTCCCATAAAACTAAGACTGTCTCAAGCAGTGCAGTGTTCATAGTCCTTAAAGATAGTAAACCTAATCAAGTCTTCCTAATTGTTTTTTTCTGCTATGATAATTTGCAACAAATTGTGTTTGTCTCTCTTGCCAGCTGCATCTTTTCAATTATTAGTACTGTTACTTGTTCTTGTCAATATATAGCAGTAGTTTTCCTGCCTTTCCCTCTAATAGTATATTTCTATTTCAGGGAGTTGATTCACTTGCTCACTCACCTTTCTGAAGCTCTGCATGAAGCACAACTTAAATTCATACTGGTCATCCCTCCTGCAGTTGCAGCAGGGTGAGTATTCCTCTTTAGATGGCAGTTTCCAGGTGTGAAATACTTTCTTGTCTGATAAACAGTAAGTTCAAAGCTTTGTTTACAGCTATGCAGTTTAAAAGCAGAAGACATTATTTGGGTTTGATTGGTAGTCCTTTCTCCATGCATATTGCACTGAATAGTCTTGGTAACTATGTGCTCTCATACATACCTCTTAATTTTTGATGTGATAGAGGAACCCACAAGGAGAAGTTCTATGCTGGACCTTGTTCTCCCCCACAATCCAGCTGGGGTGTCATGAGAACAGAGTAGAAGGGCAGAATTCCCTTCCTTGACCTGCTGGCCACACTTCCCTTGGTGCAGCCCAGGATGTGTTTGGCTTTTCCAGATGCCAAGTGCACAGTTGGCTAACCATTGCATAGTTGGCAATGAAAGATTATTTTTTTCCCCCAAGTTTCCTTTCTTCCTTTGAGATGTTCAGCAACCCTATTGCCTGCATATAAAAACTCAGTAATGTAAGTCAAACAGAGAAGCATTTTTAAGTACTTTTTCAAATGAGAGTCAGTAGACAGCTAATGAAAAGTATGACAATTTCTTATTTTTCTTGCATTGGGCTGTACAGCAGTATGGATAGGCTCACAACCAGTACAGATTATGACTGTTCAACAGCACAGTTTCAGGACAGTGTTGTACAGCCTCCTAAACTTCTTGTAGGCTGTCACATCTTTCAGTGTACATTCATTTTCAAAGTGCCTAAAAGGCTGAGAAAATTTAATGTCTGAGCAGTCTGGTAAGTGTTGCTTCTGTGGCTGGACTTCTCTCTGCAATGACCTCAAGTTTTTGTTGAGTTTTACGAGGAGGTCCTATAGCATGTTGGGGAAATAAAGCATTTCTGCTTACAGCTATCTGTGCAGGCTTAAATGCATCTGGCTGAAAAGATTCAGTGTTCCTGTAGCAGGTGACTAAAAGGTTGTCCATGTGCTGAGGTCAGTTAGCATCTGCCTTATAACTGTGGTGTCACTACTTCTGTAGGTTAGTAATGTAACCCCATCCAAACAAATTCCTGAATATAGGTACTTCCTACCATCTTAACACTGTAAGCCCAGAACAATATCTACCTGATTTGGTTCTTTAATAGCTGTCTGAAATCTGATTGTAGTTTATTTTCTGTGGGTACTTCTGAGGGTACTTCTTGTTTATTTGTGTTTTCCTCTGTTGCATGATATAACTGATTTATATGCGTTTAATGTAAAAATCCTTTTGCTTCCTGTGTGGGGCTGGCCATGCAGTTTTGATAGAGAGAGAGACAGAGAGAGAGAAACAATGTGTTGAAGACTGTGGTAGAAGAAAACAATAAATTCCATGTAAATTGGTAAAGTAGGCAGTTCTGTAAAATATTACCTGTGCAGAGTCCTTTACTTAAAGGATTGAAGGCCTAGCTGCATTTTGGGGAGATTCCTTCATATCCCTCAAGCACCTATGCTTTGACCTTGGTTCTGGATCATTAATCCTCTAAAGTTTTGCAGATTTCTCTGGAAAATTGTGTGTTGGTATGCCTTTGCATCACATGACTTTTCAGTGTGCTATCAAGTACTTTGAGTTTCTTCTGATATGATTGAATCAAAAATAATGCAAAATTATTATTTCTTATCTCCTGGCTGTCATTTATTCCAGTCCTTCATGCTGCCCTCTTATGTCCTACATCTCATCTCAATTGATAGTTACTTTAAAAAGTAATTTTCTGTTGCTATTAGTTTTATTTTATTACAGGTAAAGAAAAAGAGAACATTTCAAAACATTTTTCTAAAATGCCTCATCAGTCACTGCATCACACAGATGCTTTTTAAAATGCTAATGCATGCTCTGGTAGAATTTAAGTAATTGCTATAAACAGTGTTCACATTTGAAGTGCATTTGTGTTTTGGTGGTAGGAAGAAAGTGGAGAATAGCATAAACCTCAACATTCCTGTTCATTGTGATACCTACTGACCTTACCAAGGTCAGCCAGAGGGACCTAACTCTGCTTTGTTTCTGTAAGTCATGTGGGGCTCTACAGTCTGTTTTTTCTAAGTTCCTAAACAAGAGTTGGAGCCTCTGCAAAACCTCTGTATTCTTAAACACATTTTGCCTGGACCAGAATTTGTATTTTTAAGATAACTATCTTTCAGGACTATTTCTCTGTTGAACACCACACTGAAGTTTGAATCTTGTGTTGTCATTGGTACCTCCTGCTGTCCTGAATATTGGCACAATAGTGAGATCACAGTTCTGAAACCTTTCTGAACTGGGATTTAGGGATGCACTATTAGATCTGGAAAGTGATGCTTGTCTAAAGTGCAATTTTTAATCTGAAATAAGTTTTACATGCCTGTTCCTAAATGGCCTGTTTGTAGAGGAACTGTGAGAAATAACAGCTGCAGTTTATCTAAAAGAGAGTCTCATTCCTCTAAACCAATTATATATATATTTTTTATGCATTCCTAAAGTTTTTGGGATTTATTCATAGACCTTATGGCCCAGGAGGATTCATTATTCACATTATTTTCAATCAATAATCTTACATAAGCCACCTATCTCTGTCTTCTATGTGTGTGTTCTAATTGCACTAACTAGAAAAAAAAACACAAAGTTTTTGAGTAAATAGGTTTTTGCAAATAGATTCATATCTTACAGAAACATCCTAAAACACTCACAATGGCCATGTATACTTTAAAGCTTAGAAATATATTTGATTTAATGATATCAATAATCAGAATTCTGAAATTTTCTTTCAACCTTACTTGAATTTTTGGATAGCAGCTGTACTTGAAAATATTTGATTTATAGGATACAAGGCCTGAACTGAAAATCACTTCCTACTGTGTATTAAATATCTCGTGTCTTGAAATTCACTTTGGGTTTTAACATTTCCACATGGTTGAAAGTGTGTTTTAATGCATCTTATATTCTTCAGTTTTTGGAATCACTGTAGACTGTTAATCAAAAATACAGCAAAAAGCATGGAAATAAGTACCATCAAGAATGAAATAATAGAACAGAGTTCAGCAGCTGGCAATAGACTGATAGAGGAGACATGAGCAGTATGTGGAATATCCTACCCAACTGGGATGTTAGGAGCTGAAGCATTGTCCCTTTTGTGTTCTACCCTGATTAAAATTTAAAGAGAGCATAGTCAAATGTAAGCAGTTTATTTAGGAATTTGTAATTTAGACTCTTTTGATATGCATTAAGATCAAAGCAGTCTCTCAGCTAACGCTATCTGAAAGGAGACACTTAAGAGCTAAAAATACCAGTTTGCATAGGGAAAACCCATCTGGAAAATGCAGCACTGCACATGAGATCAAGTGTGGGATGCAGGAAGAAAACATGTTGGATCATCTGTTTAACTTCTCAAATTCAACTTCTGCAACAAAAACTAAGTGAGACCAGTCCTCTACTGAACCTTGCTTTAGTAACTGAAGGTTCCAGTGGTGCCTTTGGATTTTGGTTTGTTTGTAAAATGTTCTGGTCTAAAAGAAAGTTTCACTCTTATTAAATCCACACATTTTATAGCTTTTCACAACATTAACCAGAGGCAGTTGAGCTGGCATAATCAAGGGTAATCAAGACGTGGGAATGTGTTTGGTTGTTGATTAGGAGGCAGGAATCTCTCTAGCAAGCTTTACTGTCACAGAGAATGCATGTAGAGCTCCCATGATAGAAAACTGAGATTGAGATAGTGTTTTCATCCATCTGATGTGTAGGAATTGCATGATTTTCCTGCAAATGTTAATGATTTGCAAGAGAGAGGAACAGCAGGAGCCAAAGCTATTCTTTATGAAGTGTGTATATGTAATTCTCCCTTGTGGATTGGAGTCTTGCAGTTACAGATGTCTGAAGAGACGTGCAAGGATTCCAGTGGTGTTTAAGTGGTTGCTAGAGCAGATGAGTTGGTGAAGACTTCCACTCTGTCTTTCAACAGAATGTCTCAAAAAGTTGGAATTTTACTGCTTTTAACATGCATGGATAAACTATAGGTATCATTTTCAATAAGGTCAGTGGGTAGCTGGGCATATTCTGTCCATTCTCATGGTGAGTAGCTCCATTGGTCCTACTAATCCTGGGCTTGATTAAATTCCTGCCTTAAGTATATGAAGTTCAGTGTTTTATACTGGGTAAAGATGTATGAATGTTTTTATACTGATTTCACAAACCTCTTTCCAAATAGAATATCTGTGCTGGAGTGCACTACCTTTATACCTAAATATGCACTTGCATAACTATGTTGGGGGGAAAAATAAATATGGCAAATGCACCTTGAAATTTGGTTGCACCTGTTCTCATAAGTCATTGGGTCAGTTATTTTGTTTCTCTGTACTTAAATTCTTTATAATGTTATGAATGTATTCTCAAAACAAAAAGTGAGACTTTGTGTAGTAACTCTTTTCTGTGTGCAAGTAAATTGAATTTTATCTGACTAGATTATTGCATGTTTTGTCCAGGTTCAGCAACCATTTTTTCCACTGTGTTTCCCAAATATTATCAAGAAAATAATGAGTAAAGAAAATAAGGTTTATATACATAAGCTATCATTGGAGGAAGCATCAGTAATTTTTCTGTTTCTTGCTGTCTTGTGAGAAAGAACAAAGACAAAAAGTACCTGGAAGCTGTAGATATGGTGTTTTCTTCACAGAGGTTCTCAATCTATTCATGGCTGCATAACCATTGCCTTCCTGGCATTTGTAGTTTACTACAGACTTTAGACATGTGATATAAATATGGCATTTGTAGTTTATTACAGACTTTACACGTGTGATATAAATACGTTAAGTCTCAGTATACACTCATTAAAAGCTGTTAATTTCTTTAAACACAGTGTTAAATAACCCTATATTTAGGTTGTTAGTGATTGCTTTCCTTGGGCTTTTATCATCCCCTGAAGTACAATGCTTTGGGCAAAGTAGAAGTGAAAATGGCATTGGTTGTGTCACTTCATGATATAACACTATACTCTTTATTGACATTTTGATGGTTAGGATATG